ATCGTTCAACCGCTTTCGATTGAATTCCTTGAGTCGTGGAATGTGATAATGGTACTTTAACAACTGCCTTGATAACTGCATTCCTTGATAATCACGATGCGTTATATTTGTTGATACCTTGGGCGACTTGAAGGTTTGGGCGAGAGTGGAACAACAGCTCTGGGCGACCGTATGACACCCCATTCGTTCAGATTCTGGGCGGCTCGCAAACTTGGGCGATGGCATCACCGCATTCTTGGGCCCCTTATTTGGGCCTTCACCCTAATTCGTTTGATTGGACTTCGTTCTTTGGGCTATCCGATTTGGGGATCCTTCAATTGGGCTTTATTCCTTGGGCTGTTCGATTTGGGTTGAATTTTTATGTGTCAACACTTTTTTTGGCGGGTCTTTGTTTGTGTGGGTTGGACGAGGCGGGGTGAGTGGGTGGAACTTATAACAGGTCACCATACGAATTGATTTTAGAGTTATGATATTGCCCACGGCCCCACACAAGGGTTCCCTCCTCCCCCTTAAATTGGACTTGTCATTTTCTAGAAATGCATTTTTCTGTAGAAATATGCTCGAAAATTAATCCTTGGTTTAAATTGTGTGTGTATTGAATTAACACTCTTCTTGACGACTAGGAATACTTCTGGGTTTGTATGCTTACGGTTTGAAAATACTCAATCTACAGTAGCTGCACAACGGGCGCTCCATGGGAGATGGTTTGCTGGGAAAATGATCACTGCAACATTTTTGGTAAAACCCCCTTTTCTCCTTTTAACTTCATGAGACTTCTGCTCTAATTCACTTGGAAATTGGGCATTAGCTTGAATATTTTCTCCTTGTGCAGCTTGCCCAGAATTATGAGGATAAATTTCCTCATAGCAGATGAAAGACTATTTGAGGAAGTTGCATATGGCATTTGGGGGTCCTTGTGTATTCAGGAGTAGATCCAGGAATTTTTGGCGCACTGACTAAAATTTAAAAGTTGAGAGGCGGTTGACCTTCCATTTTCAATTTCTTAAAATTGCAAAAAAAATAAAATAAAATAAAAAATCAATCAATGATATTGCTCTAACGACAATCAAAATATAATTTATTTAGCCGACAAGACAACAAAAATATTCATTAGGATGACACGACAATAACAACAATCATTAAGCCGGCTATGCAACATAGTCAATATTTTGCCGGCAAGGGAATAGGTAGAGAGATGTTGACATTTACTTACTAGGGTGTATTGAATCTTTTGCTTTTTCTACATGTCTGTAGAATTAAGTTTGTTAACAGATGACAAATAAACTTGTTGACAATGAACAATAATTTCGCTTAGAATTTAGAGCGAACTTTTTAGTCCACTCTTTTGATTCATATTGTAACTTAAGAAAAATAAGATCATCAAACAGGAGTACATAAATGATAAAAATTATTGCATTTATCTCCCACATAATTGAAAACATTTATTCAAGTATTAAATGTCCATGTAATAGATATGTGATATCTACAAGAAAAAAGTACTGTAGTTTATTATAAAGATAGAAAACAACAAGCAACAAAAATCCTAACTAATATCTACCTAATTTTAAATTAATAAAATTATAAAATAATTATTAGATACTAATTACTAAATGGTTTACAAATTAGTGTTTGGAGAATTTGGTGTAGATTTAAGCTATGAACTATCATCTCTTGTCTCTTGACTCTTATTTCTTACAATGGCGGAAAAAAAAAAAAAAAAAAAAAAAAAAAAAAAAAAAAAAACCAAAAAA